TTTGGATTTGGATCTCTGTGGGAGAGAGTATTCTTATGGGGTGGATTGGTCTCCATGCACATAAACTCTGTAGGGTCTCCATTGGGGGTCTCCACTTCATGAAATGATATGAGCCATCTCTCTAGTGGAAGTCAGTTTCCTGCCATTATTTGCCCCCTACGGTAACCATGCTCTTGGGCTGTCCACACACTGCACGATTAACAAGCTTCTCTCCAGACACCCATGTTGTTTTACTTACAAATCATGTCACACCTCTTTCACCCCCACTGTACCTAAAACTCTTCGATGGCTTCCCATTTTTCTTAGAATAAGACCAAGAACGCCTAACATATATTGAGTGCTTTACTTTGTGCCAGACGTGGTTCCATTTGGTGGTGTAGATTACCTCTTTTAATTCTCTAAGCAATCTCATGAGGCAGCGTTATTCTCACCTCCCCTGACCATGACACGTGATTTAGATGAGGGGCCGGACAACTTTCTCAAGATCATGCACTCAATACAGTGGCGGAGTTGGTATTGGAAACCAAGTAGACCAGTTCCAAAGGCAGGCAATCAGATGATGATACTCGCGTTGCCTCACATAGGGACTGGAGTATGTAAGTCCCTGGACCCCAGCCCATGAAGTAGCAGCTTCAGAAGAGTCAGAAATTCAGAGTCTGTAGCTAACTCATTAGGAGGAGAGACCACGCTAAATACAAACCTCAAATCTTATTGTTCTTCTCCCCACATTTCCTTCGCTATTAGCCTGTTCAGTCGTGAAGTTAGTAAAGGAATACCACAAGCAGTAGAACCTTTCAAAAAAGGATGCATCTACCCCCTGTTATGTGTCATGTCCTCTTCTAGACACTAAGAAGTGTCGAAACTTACAAATTGCAGATGCAAATATTCTCATGAATGCCAAGTAGTGAAATCCCAGTTGACCATACCCACAAATGACTGAGATTTTCTTAAACACTCTTGCATTTTGCATACATAGAGTTCCATGGTGTGAGGAACTCTATTGCATAAAGCCCGTTTTGTTTTAAGTGTTATTCTCTGGGACTGCAGCAGCCTGGCATCATGCAGGCAAGAATAAAGCCTCTATTAACTACCGGGCCCAAAGTTCCCTAGCTGTGGCATAACAAGCTTTGGGATTTATAGAACAATTACAGAATTATAGAAGAATCAAAGCTTTCTATAACTGCCACAGATGCTAGCGTCAGCACCACAGGTGGGTTTTTTAGGAATTGCTAGTGGTACTAGGGCAACGGGTGCTTTAAAAAATATTCTTTTTGTTTGGTTAGTTGGTTGACTTTTTCTGCTTTTGAGCAAAGCTTTCTCTGTTTCCATTCTACTCTTGTTTAACATTTAAAATTATCCAAGCATATATACATCTAAAAAGTATTTAAGACATGCCAGTTGCTTTAACAAAATTACACCTTTCAGTCCTTACAGTAACGCTTCTGAGGCACAGAGTAGTGAAATAAGTTGCTCAAGGAAAAACAGCGGGTACATGGTAAAGCACAACATTGAATTCCGCTTTGTTGACCTGCATATGTACTAGTATGCTTTTAACACAATTCCACCAGGCCCTCCCTTGCCCTTTTTCTGTTCTCTAGTGCTGGTATGGCACAGAAAAGAGAAAACCATGAATTTTAGCATCTGAGTGGTCTAGTTTAGAATTAAGTGCCGGGAGCCGGTCCATCCTTGCTGTTTCAAAGGACATGGCATACTGTTCTTAATATGTTTGCTCACCTTCTTGGCACTATGTGTTTTAACCAAGGTCTCTGAGAAAGGTTGTTTCCCGAGGTAGGGATTTTCCCCTGAAGTTAGGGAGGGAATAAAACCTCTTAACTAGTGCCAGGTGGGTAATTAATCACTTTAACTACGAACAATCATGCTTAAGCTACATAATCTTTACTCCCTGGAATGGAGATAAGAAACGCCCTAACCTTTGTAATAGAGATTGATAGGATTGAATCAACTGGTATAAATACAGATGCAACAAGACAGCAAGACTCAGAACTTAGAACACAGAACTTAGAACACAGAACTTAGAAGACAGAACCTACACAGAACCTAGAGACAGAAGAACTTCGCTGGAGAGAACATGGCCAAAGATCCTGGACTGAACCTGACTACAGAAATTGGCAAGAGAACCTGACTAGAACCTGGTGACTGAACCTGGCTGGAGAACCTGGACAGAACCTGGCTGGAGAAACTAGCGAGGGAACATGGCTACAGAACCTGGCTGGAGAACCTGGAGATCCTAGCAAGAGAACATGGACACAGAACCTGGCTGGAGATCCTAAGCAGAACCTCTCTGGAGATCCAGACCAGAACTTGGCTGGAGATCCTGGCTAGGCTGCTGATCAACTGAACACTGTCTCCGTGTCATTCCTTCTTCTTCGCCGACTCCGTCCACACCTTTGGGGACCCCTGGACCTGCTGGGGTTGGACCCCGGCAATTAAGATTCTGGAAAAGTAATTTATGTCTTACAGGATTCCATACCCATGGTAGCTTAAGTTAATCATCTTCATTTGTAGGAAATTCTTGGAGAATAAAATGAGACACCCAGGCGTCAGGCAAAAAAAAAAAAAAAAAAAAGTATGTAAATTGATGTGGAAACTCTTTAGAGGAGAAAAAAGTTCAGCCCAGCCGGCCTGGCTCAGTTGTTGAGTGTCGACCTATGAACCAGGCCGTCATGGTTCTATTCCCTCTCAATCTGGGCACATGACTGGTTTTCGAGCTCGATCCCCTGGTTGGGGTGTACAGGAGAGAGCTGATCAATGGCTCTCTCTCATCATTGATGTTTCTCTCTTCCTCTCCCTCTCCCTTTCTCTCTGAAATCAATAAAAATATATATGCATTTTAAAGTTCAGTTCTTTTGGCTCCTGCACTCCTTCTCTTAAGGGAGAGGGCCCCTCGTCCATTTTCTTTTCTCCTTTGATTGACAGTATTCTTTTTCCACTTTATTCATCACTATCCTCTTTTCTGCTGTCTATACCACTCCTTCTTCTTTTTCTTTTTCTTTTCACCTCTTACTAGAGGAATTTAGAAACAAAAGTCAGACGATGTCGACTTCAGATCAAGCCCTACCTTTGCCACACGGTGGAACTGAATAGAGCTATGCAGCATTTAAACGTTGAGTCTGTTTCATCATCTATAAAACTCAATAGGTATTCCTAAAGATCTTCTCCAGGATTTCCATTTTATCATGTTGGTGATATTTCTTTCAGATGCTCTAGGCATTTATAAAATTTTATTCTACTGATTCTAGCCTAATGTTCCCATATATTCTGACTTCTGTACCTTACGTTAATTTTCTAATCTCTTATATACAAATGGCAAGTCATTAAACATTTGAAATGGAATTAACCATCTTGCTCCATCACATTTCAGTTCTCCATCTGGCATATGCAGTTGGAATTTACTGGCAAATGTGATTTTGAGCTTTGGGGGGCTGTATGTGAGCAAGAAATAGTGATGCCATCAGCCCACATGTGTGTAGAGCCTGAACTTTGTAGTCTCCATCATTTTCTGAGGAACAGATGGCAGGGGAAATAATCCTGCAATGCTCCCATCGTGGGGGGGATGGGTGCATTTAGAACCATGCTGTGCATCTGTACATATTTTGGCTTAAGTGAACAGGATGTCATTGGGAGAAAGATAGCCTTTGCCTTTATTTTTAAAAATATATGTTTTTTTACTGATTTCAGAGAGAGGAAGGAAGAGGGAGAGAAACATCAATGATGAGAGAGAATCATCCATTAGCTGTCTCCTACATACCCCCTACTGGGGATGGAGCCTGCAACCTGGCATGTGACCTGACCGGGAATTGAACCATGAGCTCCTGGTTCATAGGTTGACACTCAACCACTGGGCAACACTTGCCGGGAAGCCTTTTCCTTTAAAGGGAAGCACAGTGAAGGCTTATAAAAGAGTGCTTAAAGAATTTGAGATATGCCGAAACCGGTTTGGCTCAGTGGATAGAGTGTCGGCCTGTGGACTGAAAGGTCCCAGGTTCGATTCCGGTCAAGGGCATGTACCTGGGTTGCAGGCACATCCCCAATGGGAGATGTGCAGGAGGCAGCTGATCGATGTTTCTCTCTCATCGATGTTTCTAACTTTCTATCTCTCTCCCTTCCTCTCTGTGAAAAATCAATAAAATATATTTTAAAAAAAAAGAATTTGAGATATTATTGTAAGATAACTTATTTAACATTAAGTGTATAAAGGAGGAGACTAGAAGTACAATGGGAGATATGAAAGGACGCCTGCTCTTAAGTTATTCCAGTTACCCCCAAATCTATACTCTGTAGACATTGATTCTATTTCAGAACTTAAGTCAACTATAAGAAAGACTTTCTAGGACTGCAGCACACACATGATGTAAGATAGGCCAGGAGTTTGTGCCTGAGTGGAAATTGCCCAAAATTCAAAGTACAAAATGGAAAAGGACAAGACATACTTGCCTTGTTACTTGATGAGAAGCAATCTGCTAACTGTGATAAATGGCCCAAAGAATTTTGAGGTGTTTTGGTTCCCTTTGCTGTGTAATCAACTCCCGCCAACATAGGTAGTTTAAAACTACAATTATTTATTCTTTCTCTTCAGTCTGTAGATTGCCTGGTCATTTGCTGATCTAGTCTGGACATGGTTGGCCTTTCCTCCTTCTTGCTTCTTCTCTATTTTATTTCTCAAGAATTTGCTTCCTTACATCATTGATATATGTGGTATATCTAGAATGCACAATTACTTAAAAAAATTTTGGACTTCACTGTCTTATGAGGTCCATTCCATCTCTGAGGTTTTTATAATAGAGACTAGAGAACATAGATTCTAATAAACAAAGATTAGATTTTTGTGATTAAAAAATCTATTATTGATAGCAGGGAAGACTTTCACATTGAGACGTCAAGACTTAAAATAGTCCCAAGCATGTGCACACCAATTAAGAAGATGCCCAGATCTCTGTGTGCATTTGCTTGCAAGCAGTTTGTTTGTCTTTCTCTTCCAGCTGGAAGTCACTTACAGCCCCTCTCAGAAGGAATTGTCAGCACAAACAATGCAGATTGCAAAGTGAGGAAACCCAAAACAAAGGCACGTGCTCAAATCTCCCAGGTAAATACGTTTCACAATCAAATCTTTTCCTTTGCAGCTTTCTGTGCATGTAATTCGGAAGCGTTGGGAATCTGTATCCTATGAAAAAAGGCCATTTGTTGGAGAGTCGTCTACATTGACAGTATTTCTGTTCCCTTGAGACCACATGATGTGTTTTTTAAAATATATGTTTATTGATTTCAGAGAGATAGAAGCATCAATGATGAGAGAGAATCATTGTTTAGCTGTCTCCTGAACACCCCCTACAGGGGTTCAAGCCAGTAGCTGGGGCATGTGCCCTGATGGGGATAGAACTATGACCTGTTGCTTTTAGGTCTACATTAGGTCTCCTGTATGTTGTCACATGGGAACTATACAGTAAGTATCTCTTCAATAGGTTAAAAGGGCAGGATTGATTTTCTGATTTCCAAACCTAGAGCTAATCCAAGAGAACATTGATAGACTCTTATCATATTTTTTAATGATGAGGAAGATGGCTGATGGGAAGGAAACAGCTAGGCAAACCAGAAAAGAGCTAACTTGAGATCCAAAATAACAAAAGTAGAAATCAAACAGGAATGTGTAACTGAAGCCTTTAGCCTTACAGTCATAGGAATAAATAGCTGTGCGTGATTAAGTCTTCCCTTAATTCATTTTGTGTATCACTCATCATGGTAGACAAGCAGAATATGGGACAAACAGTTAAGGTCTTTGTAAAAGTTGTGTGTGTGCATGTGTTTGTGTGTGTGTGTGTGTGCACCGACACAGAGAGAAAGAGGTATCTATTTTCTAAACTACTTTTGGGCAGGGAAAATTAAGCAAATGATGATGCAAGAACTATGTTTAGTGTCTCTTTCAAACATAGGAAAAGGTGTTTGATACAAACCCCAAATCATTCCTCAGTAATAGTTTTTGTTCCATACCAAAGTGCTTGAACTAATTCAATCACTTATTCTCTCAATTTTATCCCTCAGCTATTCATTGACATTATCTTTTTCCCCCACAAAAAAAAACCTACCATCAGGTATGAATGATAATTAGCAAGAGGACAGTATAGCTTCAAAGAGATGATTATGTCCAACTTAGTTATCCAGTGTCGGGTTGGATATGTTTTCTTTTTTAAGAGAGATATCATTTATTTCAGCATCAAAATTGCAGTCACATCTTAATAAACACAAGTATAGAAATAAAAATTGAATGTTGTTAATAATCCCAAAATGAATTGTTCTGATTCTAATGGCACCATCAACACCAGGAAATTCTCCTTGTGGCTTTTTCTTATCTAAGATACAAATAACATTCATTTTGGGGAAAGAGTTACAGATATAATACATCATCTCCTACACTTGCCTGACATTATTTGTATTTTGGCCCAGTACTGTTCTGGGTGCATTCATATGAACAAATGACCCTCGTATGTCAGATACACAGGAAGGAAGATGGATAATATAGCCTGCTAGTTATGAGCAGAGATATGAGAGTTATATATTTCTGTTCTTTTTAATCTGTAGAGCTCAATAGCTGACTGATCTTGGAAGTTAATTAACCTTACCAAGAATTGAGCTCTTTATCTTTAAAATGGGAATACTCATTTCTAACTCATTGACACAGTCTTCAAGAAATAAAGCCATAATGCATATAATGTGCCTAGTATAGTAAATCAAGTTCAAACCCAGCTATAACATCCCTCCTGCTACTCCCTACACACATCCACTCAACCACATCCATATATGTACTGACATCATGCCAAGAAAGAAGGTCTTATTTTAAAAGATAAGGAAATCCATGTAACCTCATGTCAAAAAAGTATGTGGAACTTCTCACTTTCAAAGAGAACATGGCACTGGGGACATGACATTATGGAGTAAAGGCATTGTAGGTTGTTAGAGGGATCTAGTGAAACTTTGTACGACTGATGTCCTGTCCTGCTTTTTTGTCATAGTAGTAACTTAAATTTAAGTGTTAATTGATATTTACCTGGGTATATGTAAGCTTATATATGTTACATGTGTGCTATCACACAGAACAAATTACACTGAAACATAGATATTAAGTGCTAGAGTTCTTGCAACCCCAATTCCATGATGTAAAGGAAGTTAGGTACTGTCCATGTGTTCTCTGGGCCTCTATCCAATGGGAATACAAGTTTATAGGACAGAGGTGAGGATTTAATTATATTTCATATCCATGGCCCTAAGAATTGAGTGTATGATGAGAGGCCAATGGGTAGAAGCTTTTGAAGTTACAGTAATGATTGCTGTTGTGCTTCATGATTGTTTTTGATATTACCATTGTGGTTATTAGTAGACCAATAACATGGGCTTTGGAATCAAGAAAATCAACATTTAAATCTTTTTTGTCTCTCTCTGAGTTTGAAATTTTACAGCTGTAAAATAATAATGTCAACCATACAGGATTGTTGCAAGAAATAACTGAGCTTTTATATTCACACTAATTAATCTCATGCCTGTCGCATGGAAACGTGTGTGTGTGTGTGTGTGTGTGTGTGTGTATAAATATATTCATATTTATAAAATATATTAATAATAGTACTAGTATATATTATTTAAGTAACATAGGTTTGCTAGATTCTTGGACTTGGTCTTGTCCTTTTCTCTGCAATGTTTTGGTTGTCTATCCTGTTTGTTTCCACAGTTGCCTAAGAGGCATAGCTATTCAGGAAAACAAACCGACCTCAAAAACTACCCTTGATGTATATTTCATATTCAAAACTAGACAGAAAAAACAGCTTTCATTCTGCTGTCTTCTGTCTGTCTTCTTCTATCTCTTCAGAGTCAAATGTTATTATTTTACAAAACAAACCATATCATTGACATGATTGTCCAAAACAAATGGCTTTTCTTGAACATTAATTGGGAACATTGCTGGCAAGAGAATTCCAACATCAAAATGGCCTATAGTCAGAGACATTTACTTGTTTCCCTGTTCAATTGTTTAAAATATGGCTTGTCTGATGCATTTGTATAAAGTTTGTTATGAAAAACTTTTTACAATGAGCTATCTGGTCCTTCAGGCACAGGGAGATGGCTGCTAAAAATATCCTATTAGCAGAGTATAAGTCAGTTAGCATTAAATGTGCACTGACTGTGGATGAAGCTCAATGTTAACACTATGAACACAGAATGTATATGGTTGATGCCCCTAAAAAAATTTTAATATAGGGGAAAGCTTGTATGGGAAAATAGAGGCAATATGACAATGAGTTCAAAAAATCGATTGGTATTATAGAAAAAGAATATAATATTTTTGGTGGGTAGACAGTCTATTTACAGAACATTTGAATGCTAAGCTAGACTTTCAATATATCCTCATTTTTTTTAGGTGTACTAAGTGGGAGAAAGACATCAAATAGGTAAGGAGCACCATGAACAAAGATCTGATACCTACGTGAAATGACCTGGTAAGTTTAAGCAACTATAAACCTTATTAATTGCCCAGTCTTAGAATGTTAGCATCAGAAGGAAAATAGACGGAATTAAGTTTAAAACAAGGATAAATGGTGATGGGGAGAAAAAAAAAAACAGAATAAAAAGGAAGAAAAAAAGGAAAAGAACCATTTGCTTAAAAAGAAAAAGAACCAGAAACTTAAATAAAAAACGTTTTGTTTAAACTATGGTGACTGGAAGTCACAGGCAAGGTCTAAGCCCAAAAAGCTACATATTCATATGGGTGTGTTGTTGTTTATTACAAAAAGTTTCATGTCTCTTTTTTAAAAAAGCTTCAGTTTTTTTACATAAATTGAAAAAGAAAAACTTTAAAATTTATATGAACCTAAATAGCCAAAAGCAACCTTAATCAAGAAGATCAAAGCTGGAGGAACCACTTTAAATTATATTACAAAACTACAGTAATCAAAAATGTATGGTACTGGCATAAAAATAGATAAATAGACCAATGAAACAATTAAAAACCCAGAAATAAATCTATACATTTAAAGTCAGCTGATTCTCAACAAGGGTGCTAAAACACACAATATGGAAAAGATAGTTTTCAACAAATGGCGTTAACACAACTAGATGCATAATCAAAAAATGGTAATTCTCATATCTTATACAAAAATCCCCTCAAAAACAGTTTCCTGTCATTTTCCACTATCTTCTCTAGAAACAATAATTATCATGTTTTAAATCGATAACACATTATGGCTATTAAGTTTATGAGTATAAATGTTAGAAATATCAGTGAAGATTTGGGCTTGTGTGTCCGTCATTGAGAGGGCTGAAAAGATAGAAAAAGGAGTTTTGAATTTGTGAAGTCAATCAAAATGAACCAAATTCCTGATGGAAGAAGTTGTTCCTGACTTTGACATTTTGTTCCCATAGGTTGTGATTATAGAGCCCAGGTGAGCCACTAGGTCACTCCTACTGTATTTTTTACCTCTTTCAGAGAGAATCTGCCTGGAGGACAGAAATAAAATTTTAAAGTGCAGGCAGTAAAAGAAATAAAACACAGTTGTTTATGCATTAATGTAGTTGCATTTCAGGCATCCTAGCTAGATGGTCCCTTTCTGTTTTATAATGAGGGTGACATTTTCTTTGGTGGTGCTTTAAAAATGTAGATTGTAAACACTGAGGAAGGAAAGAGAGGCAGTTCTTACAGAGTGTGTTTAGTGCATTCCATGGAGCAATTTACATGTCTTTACTGGACCTCGTTTTATCTATTCGCATGTCTTCTCTGGACCTCCATTCACTATGAAGGCAATGTCTCTCCCTCCGCTTGGATCAAGTCCAAATGAAACCCTGAAAAAAGGCAGATATTAAAAAATAAAAAGATGGATGTGGTATAGTGTATGGAGGTAGGAAGCAAAATGACCTCTGATATTTCCAACTGAGGACATGACATTTTCAGAAGAGTCCAAAAATATTTCAGAGCCGCCTTTTCCATTTTTCCACCCACTTCATGTTGGTTGCAGGAAAAGAAAACAGGGAAAGGTCACAGTAGGGAACAGTGATTTACTTTGGATGATTATCAGAAAGGAGTAATGTGGAAGTTTCCCAAACACCAGTGGACACAAGATAATGCAGTGTAGTGCAGGATTAATGAGCCTGGGGGAGAAGCACTCTTCAAGTAGGAAGAGTTGCCACGTGCTCTGCCATTTTACCAAGTGGGCACAGTCTCCTCCACTCCTCCTGTGCAGTATTCAACTGTCCAATCAGAAAGGCAAATGGGCCTGGCCGCCGTGGCTCAGTGGTTGAGTGTCCACCTATGAACCAGGAGGTCACAGTTCGATTCCCAGTCAGGGCACATGCCCAGGTTGCAGGCTCAATCCCCAGTGTGGGGCGTGCAGGAGGCAGTTGATTAATGATTCTCTCTCATCATTGATGTTTCTATCTCTCTCTCCCTCTCTAAAGTCAATAAAAATATATTCTAAAAGAAAAAGAAAGGCAAATGGGGAAGAGAACCGAAGTTCATTCTTCTGACAAATTCATCTTTCCTAGTCTAGCTTGTGGAATTCAGGTTGCTGTTGTCAAAAATGCTTGGCCTTCTTATTGCTAATGCATCAAGCTCCTCAGTAAAGCAGATTTCAAAACAATGAAGGTTCTCTCCGGCTAAGTCCTTTCTCTGGACAAAGATGACTTCTGGGTTTCTCCCTACTGTCTTCAAGCGTTTAACATGATTGATGATTTCCCCCTAAAGTTTACCTATCTGTTCTTTTGGTCGTTCACACTTGCATCATCTCTTCCTACCCTTCGAGTCTGGTCTTACATCAAAACAGTCCTCAGCTCTCTCTTGCTGTGGCCATCCAGATGGACAAGTAACAATGATTTCAGAATTATGTGAAGTTATCACAGCTCTTGTCCCCAGACCGATATTTCTAACTTTGCTCTGAAATAATAAGTGGACATTGCTTTTGACTCATCTTCTTACATTATCTTCCCTTGCTTTGGTCTGACCACATATTTCTCTCCCCATAATCTAAACACTATGGCATTTTAATAACCCCTAAAATGAGAGCATGTCTCATGCAAGCAGGCAACAAGTAGGTGCTTCTTTATTCAAATAGTCAGTTTGCATAACTATTGAGCACTGCAGCTTGGGCCAGATTCCTTCACTATTCATTCCTCCCCTTAGATCATGATGAGGCCCAGAAAGCAGGATTTTAAAAAGATTCCCAGGTGATTCTAATGCGCACCCAAAGTTGAGAACCACTGCCTTAGATCCTATTTCCTCAGATCCTGGGTCCAAGTCGGGATCCTCAAGCTGGTGACTTGGTAGGTCAGCAACTGGACTCTCGGAAGAATCTGAGAGCCAAGTGTTCTATTTCCCTGTTCTGATGACAGGACCTCTTCTGTGTCTCTCCTTTCCTCTTTCTAACGTGGCCCTCTGATACTAGGACCACCCTTTGCCTGCTGAGGTTTGCACTTCCACAGCATTTCACCCACAGCATGGGGGGTCCCCTGTATTCCTGGAGCTCTAAGTGTGTGACATGCCTTTGAGTTGGCTCTGACTCCTGGTGACCCTATGAATGAGTGACTTCCACAGTGCCCTGTCCTCACAGCCCTGCTCAGCTCCTGCAGACTCATGCCCGTGGCTTCTTTTGTCGAATAAAAGAAATCTGGCTAATAATTAGAACTATCCAAGGAAGTTTCTTGCTGCAGAAAGTTTCAGTGGGAGACAAAGACACAAGAACCAACATACTGGGATGCTGGGGAGAGAATTAGTTAGGAACCCAGTCTCATTTATCTCTGTGTCCAGGGCTTGCTCTTCCTCGAAGGGGATTTTGCAAATGCAAATGCAAACCTGTTCTGTCTTGCCTGACCTGCCCTTCTGTTTGTCTCTCCAGTATCATTTCCTCTCACAGATCTCAGAGATGACTAGAGACAGACTAGTCTTTAAATTTCGCTAATGGACTCTGCTCACTATTGTACCTTCCCTTTCTCTCAATGTGCACCACTTCTCAAGTTAAATAATTACATTACACTATCATGATTTTCCTGTATCTGCATAAAGTCTCTACTTATTTTCCTTTAAACTGACTTCCTTTTTAATGTAAATAAATGTATCTTGAAAAGTAACTGTATATTACTATACAAGATAAATTAACAAGTATAATAAAGTGCTAAAGACACATTAATATAAAACTGAGACTTCTTTATTAATGTAATGAGGATCTGTGAGAAAGAATGGGAAACGAAGTCACTTTCTCCACAGTTCAATAGCATTTGCTTTCAGTATCTGTCTACCATCTAAAATAATTTTTTACAATATATTTTTATTGATTTCAGAGAGGAAGAGAGAGATAAAAACTTCAATGATGAGAGAGAATCATTGATTGGCTGCTTCCTGTATGCCCCACACTAGGGGCTGAGCCTGCAACCCAGGCATGTACCCTGACCAGGAATTAAACTGTGACCTCCTGGTTCATAGGTGGACGCTCAACCACGGAGCCATGCTGGCCGGGCTCACCTAAAATAATTGTGACTATTACACTTCCAGTGGAATGATCTATATTGAGTATGTCTTTGAAATACATTGAGCTGAAATTTTTGGATTGAGGTCTAGTGCAGAAGTTTTGCTCTAACTTACATTCTGTAGCCTTTCCATTTCATACCAAACTCCTCTGGTATTATCCTCTGCCTACTATACTAGTATATTAGCATCCATTTGCCTCATGCCTCTGACTGTAATAGTATTTCACTTGAACTGGTGATTCTTTTTTTTGTTTGTTTGTTTGTTTTGCTTTTTCTTCTGTCAGCCCATTAATTAATTTTTGCGGCTGCTTTTTAAAAAAATCCTCACTGAGGTTATCTTTTCCATTGATTTTTCAGGGACAGTAAAGGGAGGGAGGAGGAGGAGGATAGAGAGAGAAACATTGATGCGGGAGAGACACATTGATTGGTTGCCTCCCGAGTGCACCCTGGCTGGGGCCAGGGATGAATCTGCAACCAAGGTACATGCCCTTGACTATACCCTTAGTTCCACAAGCCAACACTTCAACCACTGAACCAAACTGGCCAGGGCTGTGTGGAAGCTTTTATATTCCAGAGTCCCCAACATTTCATTCCATTAAGACACACTATCAATGACAGAATCCTGAGATTCTGTTTTTAATACTTATCTCCTCTCTCTAGATAAACTCTTGACAGGTAATGACAAGATTTGGTTAGGATGGCATTGGGAATGAATCGTCTATACAATTTAGGAACAGACCCATCATTGAAAATGTGGAATCCATTCTTATGTGAGCCACGTTTTTTGAGTCATTGTGCTGTGCGTGAGAAGAAGGCAAAATGATTAATGGCAGGGTCTTGCATGCAGAAAGAGGTCAATTCCCTGTGCTGAACATTCTAGTGATAAATGCTAAATCTGGCACGTGTCTGTGATTTTACCCCATTGTAGTTGGCATTCTGCAACTTCCAGGGGCTGAGGGATATTCCATAAAGAACATAGGTCTATGCTTCTGACAAGCCTGAGTATGAGTCTAAACTCCTGACTAATGAACTGTGTGGTTGTGGGCTAGTCTTCGAATCATTCCGAGCTATATTTGCTGTCTCAGAATATTAAAATAAAAATGTCTTCCTGCCTGGTCGTGAGGCATCTCAATGCCTTTCAAGTGACCCTTGTTTAATACCTATAGGAGGTTACATAGTAGGTCTAAAACCCTGTATATGTCAGGGGGATATACAAAAAGACTGACAGAAAGGACCTTGGAAGGATTATTGGCAACTATTCAGTGCCTCAACCTGTGTGAAGAGGAAATGAAGGAATCTCAGAAGATTAACCCTACATGAAAAGTGAAGTTGCTTTTCATCAATTCTGAAATTGACTTATCCTAAGAGCTGTTTCATGTGGAGTGCTATCTGGGTAACCAAGGTAAACTTTATTTGCAGAAAGCATATCCCCCAAACAAAAGGCCTTATTATCTTTCTTGTTTTTCTTACTAAGTTTTTATCTCTTACACCAGACACATACACAAACACACACATATGTAATTTGCAAGAATGCTCCTTAATATTCGGACTGTGATGGTTACGGAAAATGAATGTCTTTGGGAATTACTGTTTAGTAATCTAGAAAATGGGATGTAAAATTGGTTTAAACAAGGTAATAAAGACCTTTCAGCCCTTTTCCCTCTTGTTTGATATGCTTTCATTTTTTTAATAATCATGCTTTTGGCCCAACAGTATACCCTAGATAGATATCTACATGTTTGACATAATGAAACAATGTCATTACTCTGTGTTTTTTTTTAAATAAAAAACTCCCAGTGTAATAATAAACCAAATAACTTGTTACCCGCTACAAATATCTGTATCAAAAGAGGGAGAATTGTATAAACTGGAGCAATTTTCTGCTCCTCGACCTCCATATCTGGATGTCTTTTTTCATAGCATAAACTATAAATTGAATGGCGTAATTTGATGATGGACATAGAACTGTGTATTAGTTTTTATTTTGACAAAATCATTAAACATCACATAGGTTGAAAAATGATTCACGAGGCCCTAAGCCTGCCTTAGAAGATTGCACTTCATAAACTGAATTGCTCACATGGGCAACATTCTGGTGGAAGTTATAGATTTTCTAGCATATCTCTGATAGATAGGACTAATATAACTTCAATAAAAACTCTGGATATGTCAATATAAAATTTTCCCTACCATTGAAAGATGTAAGATACTCCAACTAATAAATCGAACGACAACTTATTCCTTAAGGTATACTAACATATATATTGGGTTACAACAAGCAACAAAATCATCGAGGTAATAAACCACAGTCACAGAGGTTTCTCTTCATTACAAGAGCCCAGCATGATGACTGTACTTATGAAATACCCCCAGAATGTTAATCTTCAATACCTAACTTTGTTATGTGCAGTGATTTAGAACTACATATAAATTATGCCTGCATGTTATATTCACCACTTATATTTATGACACCTGACATGAATTATATGACATAAACTAGTGGTGATGTGTAAATCCATTAGGGGCCGTCAACTGTGAAACATACGCATGAGTTTAATGTAACGGTTTGTCCATGACATACGAGTTTCGTACCTGTTTATCTGGTTGGCTGGTAATGGTAGCTTTAGGTGGGTGAGTGAGGTGTAATCAAATTAGGTCTGAGGTGCTAAAAGCCTGGAACACTAGACTTCCAAGGTATTCATTTCCCAAACCTGTTGGGTTTGCTCGAGACTGTATGTTACTTAACTTTTTAGGCTTCAATATCATTACTTGAAAATTGAGGAGGATAATGACTGTTGCCTAGGGAGGCTATGGGATTAAGTTTTGAAACAAATAACACCACCCTTGGTAGCTAAGAGATGTTGGTTTCCTTGCCTCCCTCACACAGGTGACTTTTCACCCTCATGACACAGACTATTCTTGATAGTATGTCTCCTTGTGTTTTTTGTTGTGTGTTTTTTTTGTTTTTTTTTTTGGAGTCTGATTATCTTTATTGTTTTTTTTAAATTGATCTTTATTGTTGAAAGTATTGCAAAAGGCCCCTTTTCTCCACCCCCTCTCTTTGACCCCCTCCACCTTACTCCCGCCCCCCCTCCCCAGGCCTTCACCACTTGATAGTATGTCTTATTTGTGACTCAGTATTTTCTCTTCTGTTCCATTTATTTCTGGAACATGAGTCATTCCCTTCTCCCTTTGTACTAATCAGAATTCTTTAGAGAAATAGAAACAATACAATATGTATATATGTTTTGGAGATTTATTCTAAGAAACTGGCTCACACGATTATAAAGGCTGGTAAATTCAAAATCTGCAGTTCAAACCCAAAGGTTGTCTGCTGGCAGAATAATCTCTTGCTCAAGGGAGACCATTCTCTGCGTACTTAAGGCTGTGAACTGATTGGATAAGGCCCACCACATTAGAAGATAATCTCCTTTACTCAGAGTCCACCATTTAGTGTTAATCTCATCTGGAAACACCTCACAGAAACATTGAGCATAATGTTTTACTAAATACCTGGTATCATAGCCCAGCCAAGTTGACAGGTAAACTTCACTGTCACACCTTTTTATAAAGACACCTATCCTTGTGCCTCCTGGGCAAGCATTGTTCTTTGTCCAGAATTCTACTCCTTGGCAATTGAGCATCAACCTTCCTAGATTTTGTTAACTGATGAATATCAGATTATAAAGTAGTCATTAAAGAATAATATGAGAAGAAACACATTTACTAGGAAAGAGGTCGGTTTTATTTTTCTCAGTATGTACTTTTTTATTATTATTATTGTAATTTTTTCACCTTCACCCCAGGATATGTTTTTATTGATTTGAAAGAGAGAGGAAGGGAGAGAGAGAGAAAGAGATGCAGCTGTCTCCTGTAGATGTCCCAACTGAGGATTGACTGCACAACCTAGGCATGTGCCCTGACTGGGAATAGAAACTGCCACCTCTGGTATACTGGATGACATTCCAACCATCTGAGCCACCCAGCCAGGGCTATTATTATTGTATTTGTTATTGCATTTATTTGGGGACACTGACTAATAAAATTATATACCAAGTGTATAATTCTTTAATACTACATCATCTGTATATTGTATTGTGTGTTTACCGCCTCAAGTCAAGTCTACTTCCATCACCATTTATTCCCTCTTTACCCTATACCCTCTTCTACCTCCTCCCACCCCCTTTCCCTCTGGTAATCACCATAATGTTGTCTGTCTATGAGGTGTTTTGGTTGGTTGGTTGGGTTATTCTTCTTTTCCTTCTTTTTTCTTAATCCCTTCATCTTTAAAGGCACTAGTCAGACACTTTATTTTCAGAGGTCTAAATATACATCATATCACATATTTAAAAAACTTTAAAACACCAGTTTTTACATAAAAATGGAAGACTTTGTAGTTTGATTTTTGAATAATTTGGCTATGGTTAAGTTCTTTAAAATCAAGTATGCCTTCTTAGCAAACAGAGTGCCCATTTAACAGTTACTGCAAGATCGAAAACCTTAACCTACAATATGTCTTCGATGTCCTGGGTATTTTGTGATAGCTAATTCAACAATTTATTTATTTACTTAAAAAATCAATGCGTTTTCATAGTGTTGTGTTTTTTAACATTTAAATAAATATTTAATTTGTTTCTGTGCATTTACCATGTTATTAACCTCTGTTTTCTAATACCTCTATTTGAAAATTCAGGATATTCATGGATATCTCTTAGGGAGGTTATGAGGGTTAGTCTTTGAAACAAATAGTACAAGGCTTTAGACCCCAAAATGTTGTGTCTTATTTCCTCAAAACAGGATATATTTATTTATTTATTTTTTTTGGCTTTGTTTTTTCAGATCCAAGATATTTATGTATGTCTTTGAAATGCTCATGGTGATAATCAGGGTCAGTGGAAAAACTCAATGTCTATTTTTTTTCTGAATTTGCACAAACCATTTACTGTATTCTGTGTTATCTCTCCCAGCCATAGTCTCTGAGTGAATACAACTCTCCACCCTTCCAGTGATTAATAACAGGGATATTATTATCATAATGGTTAATCCCCCCTTTAATTCTAAAGATAGACATCAAACAAGTTTATTGTTGTCTATGGTTTGAACTATAGTCTAAAGATAGTTTAAATCTAACAGAAGCACAATTATCCCCCTCTAATCACAGGAATGACCTTTGAAGACAAGCAGGACTAAAGATAGGGGATTTAAATTACTCCTTTCTAATTTTTTCTCAACAACTATGATAGGCACTTGCCTGTCAAAATTTGAATGCATCTTATTCTAGAAAATCACCCATTCTAGAAAAGATTCCAACCCCCAAAACTTGTTTTGTGGACCTAATTTTGGTGAAAGACCACGGATTAGGCTCATGTAATTGCCAACCTTGCCCTTCCTGGTAACAACAAAAACAAACATCACTTAACAAAGTAACTCCGTTATCAGTTGCTTCTACTGCTCTGCCTGAGAGTCTCTCTCACAACCTTTAAGTTTAATTTAATAAACTGAACCCATGTTGACTGTTGTAGGAATCCAAAGGTGTCCAACAGAATTGAAGTAATAAGATTTCAATGTCCTCTGGGATTCTAACTGCTAAGGGGAGAGTTGAAATGATATCATTTAAAAAATGCATAAATTGCCCAGTGTGGCCCACTGGTCGGTCGAGCCTTGACCTATGAACCAGGAGGTCACAGTTCGATTCCTGGTCAGGGCATATGCCTGGGTTGCAGGCTCAGGTGGTGGCTGATCAATGATTCTCTCTCATCATTTATGTTTCTACCTCTTTCTCTCCCTTACACTCTGAAATGAATAAAAATATTAAAAAATGCATACATCTGTATTACATAAAAGCAATTTGAATACTTAAGGAAATATGAGAGGAGATTGATTTCCATCTGTGCTAGGTAGAATACTGACCCCCCCCCAAAAAAAAAATGTTTACTTCCTAATCCGCAGTACCTGTGAATATATTACCTTACATGTCAAAAAGGACTTTGCACTTGGCAGATATGATTAAACCAAGGATATTGAGATGGGAAGAGAAGCCATGCCTATTTTGGAAGCTCTAACCTAATTACAGTGGGTTTTCTAAGAGGGTCAGAGTCAGAGAGAGAGCTGAAGATGCTGCCCAGCTGAGAGTGAACAGGGAGGAAATGGACACAGGTCACGGGATGCAGGCACACTCTGAGAGTACGTAAAAAGTCCCGGAAACAAATTCTCCCTTAAAACTCCCAGAAGGAATGCAGCCCCACCACCTTGATTTTAGCCCAGTGAGACTTCTGACCTGCAGAACTCTCAGATAATCAATTTACATGGTTCTGAGCCAGTAAATTTGTGTTCATTTGTTGCAGCAGCAAGAGGAAATGAATACACAATTCAAGAGAAACTTCAAAGAGAACGTGGAGTTTAGGGTAAGTTTCCCATGGGTAGGATGCTGGGGAAGGTCTGCCACAAGGGTTGGAGAGGACCATCATTGTTGATACCGAAGGAAGAGATGTTTAATCAGTCCCAGACAGTACAATGTGAATGGTGGTAAAGACTGAGAGGAATTTCTAGGGCAGTGTCTAGGGTTCAAAATGTTTTCACTTCCACTTATTCAATAGAAAGCCATTGTAGACTAGGACGTACACACTTACACACAAATAGACACACCCACACACCCACACTAACCCCCACCACCACACACACATAGGCAAATTGTCACATAACCTAATTAATGGCATAGATCTCCCTTGGTGTGCTTATAAGTCACTCAGCACTGCTGGTTATTTTCTTGTTGTTATGGGTTCCATTGCTCATTTTGCAAATGAGCCCTTTTAGGCAATGATAACAAAAGGCACCTGAAAATGATGAACCAAATTCTAACAATTTCTTTCAATATCCTGGGGCCTTATGGGAAGGAAACAGGCAAAAGTCAAACTATTTTATGTATATAGCATTGCTAAGTTATTTGTTGCTGTTGTTTTCTGCCTTATTTTCCTCATGAATAGAATGTGCTAGGAAATGCTACCTCCAATGCTTATTGTTGACAATACAAAATAAAGTGCAGGTCCTGGCTGGGTAGCTCACATGGTTAAAGCATTGTCCAGATATGCTTTCATAAATAAGTGGAATAATCTCTCTCTCTCTCTCTCTCTCTCTCTCTCTCTCTCTCTCTCTCTCTCTCTCTCTCTCTCGTCAATCAATAAGTAAAAAAAGTTTTAAAGCACCAGTGCACTCATAATACCTAGGGGGGAAAAGAAGAGGGACGAAGAAAGAGTGAAAAAAATAAAATTCTAGTATTTATTAGATATCTATTAATGCTATGAGTTATGCTGTGTTTATTTCTCAATGGCATATATTTTTGATAAAATTAATCTCCTATATCCCTAATAAACTTTCTACTCAGAAGTTCTGAAAAATGACAAAATGGGCGGTTAGTGGCTTGTTGATATATATTTATAAATGCATGTTTAATGTTATGACCGAAACACTATTTTAGTAAGCAGAAAAGAGCCAATGGAAACAAAAAGTTGCAGTTTTTCTGTTGGAAAGAGTTGATCCCAGGTCCTTACAACTTCCTTCTCCCTGACATATATTGATTTTGGAGAAAAATAAAAAGTTCAAAATGAACAGAATTGTTTCCCCATTGATGGAACTAGAGTGATTTTTTAAAATATAAATTCATAATTCTGTTGCAAACAACGAAGCTCAAAGTTCCAAAGCTATAGTTCTGAGAAATTCTACACAATGGTTTAGTGAGCACTCTGACTTTTCCAAAAGAATGACTGATACATTTATCCAGGCTAGTGGGGATGTTTTGCTTTCCATTACATTTATGGATTAAAAAGGAAGTGAGGCCCTAACTGGTTTGGCTAAGTAGATAGAGCATTGGCCTGCAGACCGAAGGGTCCCAGGTTCAATTCCGGTCAAGGGCATGTACCTTGGTTGTGGGCACATCCCCAGTAGGGGGTGTGCAGGAGGCAGCTGATTGATGTTTCTAGCTCTCTATCCCTCTCCCTTCCTCTCTGTAAAAAATCAATAAAATATATTTTTTAAAAAAGGAAGTGGGAATTTGCTAAAATGACCTAAAATAGAGTGAGGAAGAGTCTGAATCTGCCTCAGCATAAAACATGCCATGCGAGCCGAAGAGTTCTAATTCTATTAAGCACAGTGTCTTCAGTGGGAAAATTGAACTGGTCAAGACTCGTCAGATAGTATTAAGTGAAAGAAGATGGGTAATGGCATGTCACAGAGATCGATGCCTGGCCCACCTCTGCCCACCTATGGGCATGGCTTCCCATCACAGTGGACAGACGTGTGAATCACAGGAAATTGGAAAGAATAGTCAGCTGCCAAGAGGGGTGGTGGAGAAAGCAAGTTCTCTTAAAATGGCCATACAGTGCTTGTGGACTTTCAGATTATAGCAGAGATTTTATAAAACAAAAGAATTCTGCACCCTGTTGGCATACATGATTGTATTACAGTGCTACATCATGAAAACTGATCTGATATTGACCCCTTCCTATGTTTTCAAGCTTACTGGAGTTCATGCAAGTTATACATGAACATACTAGATATTAACACATAGGTTCTAGTTAGACATTAAGTGCTACAGAGCTACTAGTATTCAATGAGTACTATCAGCTTCCACTACTGCTTTTAATTTTATAGTATCATTATACCCTTGCAATAACTTCTAAAGATGGCAGATGGCAACATTATTTCTGTTTTACTGATATGAAGACTGAGTTTTAAGGAGCTTGCTGATGTCCACGCTGCTAAAATGAGAGCAGAGTTGCGATTCTAATTTCAGTTCATCTTACCTTGGAGTTTAAGATTTTTAACGTTATGCAAATACACAAACCCAGGCACACACAAACAGCCTACCCCGTGTATGTATGTAGGCATGTAGGTATATATCTGTTTATCTACTCGTCTATACATGCACTGTTGGTTGGAATTGTTCCTGTATATCTTTCAGATTTGCCCCTTACCAGAGCCATTTGAGGAAGTAATAGGGACTATTCTTTAGGTGAGAATAGAATAGCCTTGGACAAGAGGAGCTCTCAGGTAACAGGAAGAGGCAGACAGAAAGAAAAATTGCTAAGGTTTATTTCTACTATGAAGATGTAAAAAGGACCAAGGTTGCAATTGAAAGCCCTGTATATCTTTCAAAGCATTCTAAGAGGCGCATTAAGCCAAAGTGAGAAATGGGTACGGGGCCTTCCTGAAGTAGTCAGAATTTCCAGATTGAGGAAAATAAGCTCCTAGACCTGCCTTCAGTTCTCTGGATGTGGCAAAGTCCCATCCTTTGGCACGGACACAAAAAACATTCTTTTTAAATACAAGGCAGTTTTCCTAAATAAGGTGATTTTTATTTTCATACTAGAGGCCCGGTGCACGAAATTTGTACACTTGGGGGTGGGGGGCGTCCCTCAGCCTGGCCTGCGCCCTCTTGCAGTTCCTTCACCGCTGCTGTGCTCACCAGTTGTGAGCCCGGCTTCTGGTTAAGCAGCACTCCCCCAATGGAGCGCACTGACCACCAGGGGGCAGCTCCTGCGTTGAGTGTCTGCCCCTGGTGGTCAGTGTGCATCATAGGGACTGGTCGTTCTTTTATTCAGTCGATTTGCATATTAGCCTTTCATTATATAGGATGTGTGTTCGAGTCTATGAATATGTCTCAAGATGTATATCTCTAATGAAGCTGCATACATTTCTTGTAATGTATGCATATTGGCCTTCTGCTGAAGAGAGTGATGCTGCAAAAAACAAACAAACAAACAAACAAAAAAACCACACACACACATTGAAATTCTGAAAGTGATAGTTTTGGGTTCAAATCCTAATATTTAATTAGTAGTAACATTTTCAATATTAAAATGAAAAAAGTATTACACAGCTTTTAGGATTCTTGTGAAAAAATAAAAGCATTATTTATACATAAACTTTCACAATTATGGCAGGTTTTATTAGAGCTTAAATTGTTTTTGTCCTCGTTGTTGAGCTCATTTATTTATTTTAATTGAAGTTATTGGGGTGACACTGGTTAACACATTTATACAGGTTTCAGGTGCACAATTCCACAACACAATCATATCCAGAGTTCAGGCGATAGGTGGGAAAATATATTTCTTGTCCAAGTTAGGACAATACAAGTTGGCTGATGCCGTAAAAAATGCCATTGCTTTCCATTGTGAGTGGGAATTGTAGTGAGTTTTACACTAAAAGTGAAGCAATAGTATTTTCATTTTGAAAGGATAACTCAAAGCAGCATCTTCCAATGTAAATGTTCTCAGAAGGGAGTAAGGAGTAAAGATCCCTGGAAACCAAAACCAAACAAGGCAACCAGTTATTTTGTTTAATTTGACCGCAAGGCACTTGTTATCATAAATTTCAAGGAATAGAAGGTGAAAATTTTTTAGAGAGTTGATGCTTAGAAATTGAAAGGCTTGGCAGACCCTTGTCAACCTTGTAATGCTGAGGAAGAAAAACAGTTGAACCGACTGCGAGCGTGGCTCAGTGGTTGAGTATTGACCTGTGAACCAGGAGGGTGCGGTTCCATCCTTGGTCAGGGCACAGGCCCGGGTTGGGGGTTGGATCCCCAGTGTGGGGTGTGCAGGAGGCAACCAGTCATTGATTCTCTTTCATCATTGATGTTTCTCTCTCTCTCTCCCTCTCCCTTCCTCTCTGAGATAAATAAGAACATATTAAAAAACAAAACAAAACAAAAAACAACTTAACTCTGGGAATGGCTGGGGATCAGAAGCCCTGGTAAGCACATAAGGCTTTCACTTTAACTGCTGAAAGGACTTGGTTCTAGGAGTAGGGCAAACCGGAAGTGGAATAACAGCCTAAAACTCAGCCTTGAATTAACTCACATGTTAACAGGATGGAGGCAGCCAGGCTGCATTCAGTGGTCTGTCAGACAAAAGCTCCTTCCGCTGGAGGAAGATAGCATCATGCACACACTCTGTGCTTTTCTATATACGCTGAGGCACAGTTGTCTGGCCACTATGCTGTATACCTGAAACTAATACAAAATGATATTGAATATAAATTACGATTTAAAAATAAAATTAAAAAATAGAATTTTTTAAATTGAAAATTAAAGCCCTAGCTAGTTTGGCTCGGTGGATAGAGGGTCAGCCTGGGAATTGAAGGGTCCTGGGCACATACCTTCCTTGTAGGCTCTTCCCCAGCCCGGGCCTTGGTCCAGGCTCGTGCAGGAGGCAACCAATTGATGTGTTTCTCGTACACTGATGTTTCTCTCTGTCTTTCCCTCTCTCTTCTACTCTCTCTAAAAAAAAAATGGAAAAATATCCTCAGATGAGGATTAAAAAAAAAATTAAAAATTACCAGGCATAGACTTACGTTTCCTCTTGAGGTGTCACACATTGAGGAAACAAGTGCGCCTGCCCTAGG